CAGAGCAATTCTTTTTTTTTTTTTTTGTCTTTTTGTCTTTTTTCGTGACCGGCAACGGATCGCAACCCTCAGTGTCGCGCCCGTACCGGACCGGGACTGGCAACGGGATCGCAACCCTCGGTGTTGCCCCCGCTCCTCGCTCAGCCAGTGAGTGGCCGTTCTGTAGGTGGGATCCGAACCCTCGGCGGGAGCGCTGCCGCGCTTCCCAAGCGGCGCACTGTAGCAGTGCGCCACCGGGCCGGCCCAGCAGAGCAATTCTTTGCAGTATTTGACATTAAAGAAGAAAAACACATGTGATAAGTTATGATAGATGCCAAAGAGCCATTTAACAAAATTCAACTTCTATTCCTGATAAAAATGTTTAATTAAGTAGTAATGAAAAGACATTGTCTTAACCCAACAAGAAATATATATACCAAATGAACAACAAACACCTATCATTTAAAATCGTTCTCCATATACTGGGGAATGGACATCTCTTCAATAAATAGTGCTGGGAAAATTGGAGATCCATATGCAGAAGAATGAAACTAGACCTCTGTCTCTCACCATATACCAAAATCAACTCAAAGTGAATTAAAGACTTAAATGTTAAGACCCCGAACTATAAAACTTCTAGATGAAACATAGGGGAAACACTTCAGGACTAGGTCTGGGCAAAGACTTTATACTTCAGAGGCACAAGGCAAAAAAGCAAAAATTAACAAATGGGATTATATCAAACTAAAAAGATTCTGCACAGCAAAGGAAATAATCAGCAGAATAAAAAGACAACCTGCAGAATGGAAGAAAATATTTGCAAACTATGCATCTGACCAGGGATTAATATCCAGAATATACAAAGAACTCAACTCAATCTTAAGAAAAACAAATAACCTGATTAAAAAATGGGCAAAGGAACTGAATAGACATTTTTCAAAAGATGACATACAAATGGCCAACAGGCATAATGAAAAATGCTCAACATTACTATTCATCAGAGAAATGCAAATCAAAACTGCAATATCATCTTAGTAAGAATGGCTACTATCAAAAAGACAAAATAACAAATGCTAGTGCCTTGGGTTGTATGCTTCCTACAACTTAACTCCCACTTTAACTGTTGAGGGTGGGAAATCCTATTATGGTAATTGAAAGGTGGGGCCTTGAAGAGATGATTAGATTGTAGGACCATGTCATAATGAATGGATTAATAATTGTGGTCAGGGATATGGTTCTGAGGGTTTTAAAAGAAGGGAACAAGAGAAGTTCACTCTCTCTGCTCCACCAGTTTTCTACCATGTGAGACTTCTGTGTTGCTGCAAAGCCATCACCAAAGAAGGCCCTCACCACAAGTGTTCCTTGGACTTTGGACTTCCCAGCCTCCAAAACTGTAAGCAATAAATTTCAGTTTCTTTATAAAATACTCAGTTCCATATGTTTTGTTATAAGAAACAGAAACGGACTAATACAGCTAATGAGGATGTGGAGAAAAGGGAACTCTTATACATCTCTGGTGGAAATGTAAATTAGCACAGCCACTATGGAAAACAATATGGAGATTTCTCAAACAACTACAGACAGAACTACCATATGATCAAGCAATCACACTACCGTGTATATATCCAAAGGAATGGAAATCAACAAGTCAAAAGGGCACTGGCACTAACATGTTTATTGCGGCTCTATTCACAATAGCCAAGAGTTGGAACCAACCTAAATGTCCTTCCACGGATGATAGGACAAAGAAAACATGATACATGCCCCCCCACCCCCCGAATACTACTTGGCCATAAAAAAGAATAAAATTCTGCCATTTGCAGCAACATGGATGAGCCTGGAGAAAATTATGTTAAGTGAAATAAGCCAGGCAGAAAGAGAAATACTGCTTGTTCTCACTCATATGTGGAAGCTAAAAAAGTTGATCTCAGGAGAAGAGAGAAGGGGAGAGGAAGGGAGAGAGGGTGATCAGTTGATACAAAATATTAGAGATAGGAAGAATGGGATCTAGTGTTCTATAATAATATAGGGGGACTACAGTTAATAAGAAAGTACTGTGTATCTTTGAATAGCTAGTCAGGATGATATTGAATGTTCCTAACACAAAGAAGTGGCAAATGTTTGAGGTGATGAATATACTAAGCACCCTGATATGATCACTGCACACTGTATGAATGTACCCAAATATCATACTGTACTCCATAAATATATACAATTATCATAGGTCCATTAAGAAAAATAAATTAAAAAGAGGGAAAAAAAGAGAGAAATAGAGAATAGAATAGTGGTTGCCAGAGCAGGGGAAGGAGAGCAGAACAGCCAGGAAAAGTTGGTAAATTGGCACAAAGTCATGGTTAGATAGGAAGAAGTTCTGGTGCCCCAGGGTGACAATAGCTAATAATATTGTATTGTATATTTCAAGATAGCCAGAAAAGATGATCTTGAATGTTATAACCACAAATCGATGATAAATATTTAGGTGAAAGATATGCTAACTGTTCTGATTAGATCATTACACAATATATACATGTACTGAAACAACAAACGGTACCCCACAAACATGTACAAGGAAAAATAAATACAAATTTTTAAAAAAAAGGTAAAATAGAAAAAAACTAAAAATTAAAAACACCCAAAATGTTCTCAAAGTGCTAGCCAATGCAAACAGGACTCCCCCCTCCCTGCCTTCCTGCCCAAAACAGACTTTGGACACAATCCATTCTCTGTAAAAATTCTAATATGCTAGAAATATTAAAGGAAACTTCCTTGATAAATCAAATTTATTAGAAATTAATAGTAAATATCATATTTAATGATGACATGGTAAAAGCATCCCCAAACTAAGAAACAAGATAAGCATGACCAGAATCATTGTTATTATTTATCACTGTTCTGGAGAAGCTAGTAATTCATTAAAGAAAGAAAGCAGTATAAAGGAAGAGATAAGATTATTATATTTAAAGAGTTGTTTTCCTAGAAAATTCAAGAGAAAGGATTAAAAGTTATAAATTTAGAAAGCTGGCCAGATATATAAATACTCATGTACATACCAGTCACAAAATGTTAGAGAATATAATGGTTAAAATCCCAAAAGGATTATTTTAATGGAACATAAACAGTTTATTTTGTCTGGAAGACAATTCAATAATATTCAAGAAAATTTTGGGAAAAAAAATGAGAAGGGACTTGTCCTATGAATTACTAAAAATGCCACAATCAAACCAGATAGGTGTTTGTAAAGAGACAAACAGACCAAGGCAACAGATGAATCTAAAAAAAGATGCATGTACACATGAGAATTTACTATATTAAGGAGGTATTTCCAATCGGTTGAGAAAGAACGATTTCAACAAATGATTTCAGAAAAAATGGGTACCTATTCATAAAAACTAAGAAAAAAATTAAATATCTTACACAATGTACAAAAAGAATTTTCAGATATTTCAATGAGTACAACATAAAAAGAAAAGAATCAACAAAAAAGAGTTTAATAATTTTTGAGTGAGGACCACTTTCTTATATGAGATACAAAACCTGGGCATTTTATTTTATTTTATTTATTTTTATTTTTTATTTTTTTTCCTTTTTGTCTTTTTTCGTGTCCGGCAACGGATCGCAACCCTCAGTGTAGCGCCCGTACCGGACCAGGACCGGCAACAGGATCGCAACCCTCGGTGCTGTGCCCGCACCTCGCTCAGCCAGTGAGCGGGAACCGGTCTGTATGTGGGATCCGAAC